GCGGAAAATAGGGGCATCGTCGCTTCGAGGGAGGTATTTTTGCGATACTTGAACAGCGAAGAGGGAAAGAAGAGGTTGGGCGAACTGGATCCTGGTAGTGAGAGGAAGACTTCAGAAGGGGGAAAGAGGTCGATGGATGAAAGACCTTTTACGCATACGGTCGTGGTGCCTGTTGCGGTGCCTGGGTGCGGCAAGACGATCCTGAGCATAGCGCTCGCAGACTTGCTCTCACAAAGCGTCGCGAACTCGCAACCGGACGACACGTCGAGCTGCATGAAGGGCGCTGCGCTCGACACTCCTCTGCGCGTCTCTCACGTCCAGGCGGACAACATGACGACGAAGAAGACGGGCCCAGCTTTTTTGCAAGCTGTCACTGCAGAGTTGAGTGAAGGAAAGAATGTCGTCATTGCGGACAGGAACAATCATCTGTTGAAGCATCGGCGAGAATTGGTGGACGAGGTACGAAAATGGGAGGAGAAGGTGCACAAGACGAGCTTGGACAAAGCTCGGGGATATGCTCAAGAGCAGAAGAAAAGGGGATCAGCAGCAGCTCCACTGGCTGCAAAGAATGATGTGCTTAGAGATGAGGTCGCGGCGCCGCGCGTCAGACTTGTGGCGCTTCCGTGGGACTTGGATGATCTAGCGCTCAATGCGGTGCATAGACTCTGCTCGGACAGGATCACGCAAAGAGGAGATAATCATCAGAGTTTGAGAGCGGACCCTCGAGGCGCGTCGGGAAGCAGCGATCATGAAGATGTGCTCTGGAAATTCTTGGACGACTGGCAGAGCTTTCAAGCAGGGCCTCTGGACGATGCTGAGGCAGACGAGGCGGATCTCGCTTTTGATGAGAGCATTCGTATGGGTGTGGATGTGGAGGAAGAAGGGAACTTGAAACAGGCCTTCGAGGCGATCTCTCAGATACTGGGAGTGAGGCTTGGGGATGCGCAGCTTGGACCTGAAGGCAAGAGCAGGCGGATCAACGATGCGTTGAAGAGGGCGAAAGAGTACAAGGTGGACGTGCTCAAGCCTGCCAGGGCCATACATTCCCAAGTAGCTCGAAGCCAAGCGCCAAGCAAAGCACCCCGATACTACGGGATATCCGTCGAGCTCAACTCTTTCTCGGCACTCAAGCAAAGATTGGTGCGGCACGCTGGCATGTCCGCCTTGCATGCCGAAGCGCTCGACATGTTGGAAAAAATGCATAGGGAGAATAGGATCGTAAAGACGCCTCACATTACCCTCGTGCACTCTTCCGAGCTGCACAAGAATCAAGGAGCAGAAGAAAGCGCCAAGTCTGAAGCTGCGCGGAGAAAATGGAAGAGGTACGAAGAGATGTGCAGCGGCGGCACTGGCTCTAGCGCCGGCGGCGATGCAGCGGACGCGCCGGACTCGCAGAGAATAGGAAAAGCGCCGCCAGAGTTCGATATTGTGCTTGATCGATTGGCTTGGCAGAGCGGAAGGGCGATGGCTTTTGGAGTGTGCAAGACGGGAAAGGAGAGAGTTTTTAGTAAGGACATGCCGGATTTTGAAGAGGTGCAATGCGGCTTGCGTATTGCTTCGTCTGTCATGATCCCTGAAGAAGGGCGAGGGGAGAAAGAAGATGGGGAGGGCAGGGCAAGCAGCGAGTCGACGACCACGACGACGACGACGACGATCATGCAGGACTGGACGCCGCATGTGACTGTGGGAACGGCCAACGAGAGCATCAGACC